CTCCGAAATTTTTCGCCCTTGTCCGAGAAGGCTAGGTGTAGATCTTTCCTACCACAGGATCAGGGGTGTGGCAGAAAGACAGCTGTAAGAAGGAGTCAAGGAGTAGCAGTAGAAAGGTTGCAGAAAGAGTTAGAAGCCCAAAGGAGGGGGCAAAGGAGGTGAGGGGGAGGGGGCAGAAAGAGGAGACGAAAGCAGACGACAGAATATTGCTAGAGAGCAGGACAGGAGATGAAAGGAGACAATTTTAGAGAAGAAAATTTTTTGTTGCTACCCGGATTCGAACCCGGGACCTTTTGAATGAGAGGCCAACACCTTAACCTCTAGGCCATGAGAGCCCCCTTGCGGGGAGTGCAGATGTTAGGTGTTTGGGGATAAGGAAGGGATATAGTTAAGAAGAAGTGGGGTGTTGAAAGACACTCATACATTTATGACAGCCCCTCCCCCTCTCCCCCATCCCACTTTAAAAAGACAATCTGTTGCGTATTGTTGTAACGCAAACCACGACCACATAGTCTGCTTTAGTTTTAGTAAGACTTCTACGGCACTTGCAACACTATAAAGTCATACAAGTGCCGAAGATTCGATGTGTTACAAGAGAGTAACAATTAATATAAAAAAGGAGGAGAGATCAGTACGATAGGTCTTTGACAGGAAAGAAGGAGCAAACCACACCAGAGCACCCACCAAGCACCGAATGACATAGTTTGCTATTGTGCTCAAGTATTCCAACCCATCATCACAGACGACTGCTATGGAAGTGTAAACTTTAAGAAAAGAACAAACAAATCACGGACGACCAACACCGTCTCAAGTTCTAGGGCTGCCAAAGGAAGATTCTGTCCCAGCAAAAAAGGAAGAATTACTAACGTGAACCATAACTAAGCTGCCAAAGTGCATTCTGTCGCGGAGCAGTATTCTGTGGATGGTACCGACTGCGCGGCCAGGGAGTGCCTCTGGTGATAAATCGATAGTTTCTCCTCTTCGATTAGCTGTTTATGTCTCAGAGAGAAAGAGAGAGAGAGAGAGAGAGAGAGAGAGAGAAAGAGAGAGAGAGAGAGAGAGAGAGA